AAATCCCGAACAACTGGGCGATGTGGGTCGGAAGAATCCTGCCATTCTGGCCCGCTGTCGTAACGACGTCGTTAGCTGAGCGCCAAATCAGAATGTTGTCCCGAATCAGGTTCTTCAAACTGACCATGATCAGGACCTCCGAATCGACGCGCAAGCCGGACTGAATATGGCTGTCACCAAGAAGGTATGGGCAGCCATGTACAAACTGTCCGCCCCTCTTCTTGATGGTTTCGTCGGCGCGGCATGCTAATCCAATGCTGAAAATACTCGGCAGATTCTCCCGTTGAGTTCCATGAATGGAGTAACAGGGAGCCCTAGGAGCGGACAAGTCCGTAATTCTCATATATATATGTATATATAATGACTCAGGGCACATAATACCAGGGCTGATATGTCCGTTACTTGGACGGATGAAGTATGCGCCGTGCTTTTCGGAGGAATACTTCATCTTCTCGATATGCAGCCGATTCTTTCTCATTCCAGACTCGTCAACCATACCAATAAGTTCCAAGACAGCATGCACCTGGCACGCCCAGTGCTGGTTCTTGAGCTTGCAACGTACCCTGTCCAGGTGCTCGCGGTGGTGGCTCTCATATCCTTCCGCAGGCCATCTGTTGAGTAGCTGTAATAATTATGCCCACCCGTCGTGCTCATCATACGTCGTCACTTCCCAAATGAATATGTCCGACAATTGGCCACTATGAAACGGCTGGTGACGAAGGGCAGTTGTCAACCACTCAGAAGCCTTACGTTGATCGTCGCACTTGAACTTCGGCTTGCGAACATTCTCTGACCTGAGGATGTTTTTCCAAATATTCCCTTTCAGAGTCAAACGTGACTGCAGGGCGTTTCCGCTGGATGCTGCGCACTATTTGGCACGCGCGTGCACCTTGGCCATGATGGGCAGCAGTGTCCACGACGTTGCATTGCACCACCATGCATCGGTCAGCTCAATCGCCATTCCGCGGATGATATGCTGGATTGATCTTCGCGCGGTTGGAGGTGCGCATCCTCTCTCTGAGCTCTGCACATTCCGGCGGCACCAACGCGCGGGCAGGACGCCCCGCTGGACTACGAGCAGGTTGCCCCGCAGAACTCTGAGCAGATTGCCCCGCAGAGCGCGGGGCTGCCTTTGGCGCGGCAGACGCTGCTGCGCTCGCTGCCGATGCGGCAGCGCCAACAGGTCCCCCGGGCGTCCTTGGAGTTCCTTGCGGGGTACTGATATCGAAGTCCTGGCGTTTCTTCTCCTTGATGTTGTAGGACTCGGCAGTCTTATCTCTGGGCACTGCTCCTGGCACCTTTGGCGCGGTAGCAAGGAGCTCCTCAGTGCCACGTCGCGTAGAGGAAGCATTCCTTGCCCTTCCTTCCAGCGCAGGCACCCACCATGGCCTGTGCGTCCGACCTGGTGTAGGGCCGCGACGTGGCACAGGTTCTACTGGTGCCCTGAAATCAAGCTGCTGCGGCGGCCACTTCTGGTCCTCTGGATCGTTGTCGATCAGCAGGTTGCCCCGCGTGTCGCTGCTGCTTGCCATCCCCAAGGCTGGGGCTATCTGGGCTTTTCCGCTTCTTTTTCTCTCGTAAAGTTGAGATGATCAGGACCAAGAGATTGGCTTGATGAATCAGAAGATGAGGGGAGATCGATCGTCTCTGGCTTCAGCTTTGGCGCTGCCTTTGCCGCAGCCCCTGCCGGCGTCCCAGGCGCAGATTGCACGGGGCCTCGGTCAGGATGCAGATCGATACCGTCTGGCCCCCTGAGGGCCATATTCTTAATGGGTACCTTGCGCTTATGTGCAACTAAGTACTTATCGGCGCTTCGTCTTTCGACTATGCGTGTCCGTATCCAGCCAGTAGACTGAGCTCGGCAAACAATCTGCCTCCCAAGATATAGATCCATAGCTATTGCGACAACGTCCTCGGGGTCGATCAGGGCATCCGTCTCACACGTAACATCCGCAATGTCCGAGTCGCTTGGCTCGCCGCCGTCAGGGGCAGCGCCCGTGGGATCAACTTCTGCAGCCATCTCATGATCTTCATCTTCACCAGCTTATTGTTGGCTTTCTTCTTCTTCTGATTTACGATCAGCAGGTTTCCCCGCGTGCCACTCGCGATGGAACTGCGCCAAACAGTGGGTAGGTATCAAGTTCTGCCGAACGAGTTCTGAAAGAGCTATTTCTTCGCGAGTGGCGGGGTCGTCATCGTTTCCGCCAGCTGCTCAAGATATGGCGTAGCGTTGGGATCAGTACAGTGACCCCGACCATCTTCACGAGACCACACCCACGGTGTTCTTTTGAACTTAGGGCTTCTTTATGTGCGCCTCAGGGGGCAGCCGGGCCTGCAACCAGCATAACTGGGGCATGTGCAGCAAACGCCTCTGTAGAACTTTCGATCCTCGATGATGGCCCTTTTAAGATCGTGATTGACCATGTTTTCCCCCGATTTGGTCTGTCCCGCCTTTGTACGAATGACATTGCCTGCATCATCTCGTCTGACCTGGCAAAGGGAATACCAGTGCCGGGCTTGATGCTCGCCCAAACCCATTCCCAGCTAGAAATCCATCTGGTTTGCGGGCATGCACTGACGAGCCAATCCAGCATCGGCGTAGCCTTTCAAACGCTGCATTTCACCTTCTGGATATCCCCCTCCTCGACGTTGGTCATCTTGAGGCGGGTTTCCCCGCGGGCGGTCCTTCCTCGGGGGGGCACGTGCTCTTGTCGCCTGCCACGGCGGGCCCCATGTGGCCCCCGCATCAGGAGGATGAGAGCGCTGACTACCGACCGCTCGAACGATCACCGCTAGAGCGGGCTCGCGCACGATCTGGCGAGCGACTAGGAGCACGACCGCGACGTATCATGCGGTCACCGTCTTCCCGCTCGTCCTCCTCGCCCACTGGGGAACGCTTCGGACCGTCATGATAGGTTTTCCTTATCAAGGGTAGGCGGCTTGGCGATCGTCTCGGGCCGCTGGCGGACCGATATGACGCAACAGAAGTATACTGAAATTCTTCATTATGCCTGAGCTCATATTGAATGCGCCCATGTCGATCAACAGCGTCGCGCGGGCCCGCGTTTGTCGGATTTTCAATCGCCCGAGGAAGTGGCAGGAGTGGCAGAGTGCAGGAGTGGCAAAGTGCTGAGTGGCAAAGTTGCATGAGTGGCATGTATTTCCTCATCTGTTGCAGGAGTGGCAAAGTCTGAGTCCGCGGGCGCCCCCGCCACGCCAGGATCACCTTCGACGGGCATGGGAGTTCTCGACGAACTCAATATATGCAGGCTGCCCCGCGATGGGTACACCCAGCCATTCTGCCAAGTCGACATCGCCGTGGCCAGCGAACACCTCCTCGAACAGCTCGTCGGCGCAATTCTCGAGGGTCATGCTGGCACATAGATACCTGGCAGCCATGAAATGAACAAGTGTGGCTGAGCCGTCGGCAGGGTCGGCTAAAAGCGACTCCCAATCAACGCACTGCATGTCGGAGTCCTTGCGAGGCAAATTAATTGACGGACCCCTGCCTCTTCCATCACCTCGGGGGCACTCGCGTCGGCAATGTTGTGCGCTGTGACATATGTCGCACTCCATGGTTTTACCGTTGGCATCCTTTGGATGTCCTCGTCGTCCTTTGCCTTTGCCTGATGTGCGCCTGCGATTTCTGCCAGTACCTAAAAACAGTTCCTCATACTGAAGTCCAGTAAGAGACGCTAGAAATGCGAGTATGCCTCTGCCATGTAATCGCCGGCGCTTGCCTTTGCCTTTGCTTCGACCCTTGTTTTTTCCTAAAAGTGACCGTCGTACAATACGTCTTACCCTTCGAAAGGGTTTCTTCATGAACCTCCGTCAACGACGCTTGTGTTTTTGATCGCCCAAAAATAACAATTGAGCTTGCTGCTCCCCAATAAGGTACGCAGGCATACCAGAGATATCCAAAGCGGCAGCTTCATCATCGGAAGACGCATCCGCATCGGTACCGGAGTCGAAGTCGGACTCGGCGGGTCGCCCCGCTGAGCCCATTAGGGTCATGGCTTGCGTAGGGGAGGCCGCGTCGGGCGGCCCCCCAGATCTGGCCCAGGGGCCTTGCGACCCCGAAGCCGCTCCACCATTCTGAGCCAACAGTGTAGTGGTGTCAGTTGGCTGTGTACCATCGTTCCCAACGTTTTTGGCAGGTTGCCCTGCGTTGGCCTCTGCGTGGAAGGTCTCGGTTCGGTGACCATGGCTCATGCACACCTGGCAGCGCGGCATCGCGCACGGATGTGGAATAAAGAATTAAGTGGGTACACATGGAAGGAGAAATCGCTGCCAGAGAGTCGTATGAAGCCGTATGGCTCCTTGAGCCTGAACAGCTGGGAGACCGTGATGCCACTCAAGAGCGGGACACGCAGGCGCATTCGAGCCAGCATGCAGTAGGTTCCATTGCCCTGCAGTCGAGACCACTAGCAACGCTCTCTTCGAGAAGAAGAGCCATCGCAGACCATCCCATTCACATCGACTGCGTCTGCGGCGGCACAGCTGGAAAGCTGGCATGAATGATGATCAAGAGTGTAGCGTCGTAGCTTCCTCGTGCCCATACAAGCAAAGTATCCGAGCTCCATCCGGCGAGCTCCGCTCCAGTGCAAGGGCTGTTCCGAAGTTCACGCACGATGGTTCTACCATATATGCCCCAGCAGGCTTGGTAGAACCTTGGGGCTGTTCTCGAAGCAGACTGCGGAGCTGTAGCTTGGCGCGCCGGCAACATTGCATGGTCATTGCGGTGCCTATCGGGGGTTTGTCGGAGGCTTGTTGAGGGCTCCTTGGGGCCTCTTGCCTGGATCTCTCTCAGTCCTTTGGAAGGGCCTCTTGTGGACTTGTCGGTGATGGGTAAGGGCCCCCCTCAGGAGAGGAAGAGAAGGGAAAGCCTGATTCAACTCTGCCCTGCCCAGTTGCTGCCCAGGCTCTCCACATACACACACATACACACACACACACACACACACACACACACACGCGGTATCCCTGGACTCTCCGCTAGCCATCCTGAGGGAAGTCCTGCCCTGTCTGCTGCGCGTAGAGGCCCTTGTAAGAGGCCACAAGCAGCTTCAGGTCGGCCGAAGGTACGTCGCATGTGGAGTGTCTCCTGCCAAGCTGACACTTCGCGTCTAACCGGTCAAGCAGCTCTCGCAGCCGCCCCTCGAACGGCCCCATGTCCAGGCCGCGCACGACGCTGGAGTAACTCAGGATCAGCTCGCGGTAAGAGTCCCAGGCGAAGTGCGCGCCCTCCAAGGCAGCCTGTGCCTCCACGATTGAGTCGTTCAGACCTGCGGAATGCTCCTCAAAAACAGCCAGAAGCCAGCTGAGAAGGAAGCGCAAGGGCGCAGCATCCCTGACGCATCGCCGGGAACCTCCCCATAACAAACTCGTCGAACCAGTGGCACCCAAGGACCCTGGGGGCGTTACCGCTACTCCCTGGACCTCTCCTGGGGCGCGGTCTGACCAGGATTTCGAAGCGAATCCAGCGGTGGCGACGAGGGCCGCCCGGGGGGCCCAAAAAGGAGAAAACGAAGGAAGGGTAGCACTATGGGTACCTTTTCCTCCTCTGAGCGTTGGTCACCCCCGACGGCGGAGGTAGACCACGCAGCCGAGTCTCGGGCCGCTCGCCGAGACCGACATAAGCAGCGGTCTGTGCCAGGACTCGAGCTAAACAATGCTCTCGCTTTCGTGTTGTCTTCGTTCTCGGTCTGTCTTCGTTCCGCCTTTCCTGCAACACAAAATCAAAACGAAAACGGTCCACGAAACTGCCAAAACACCGTTCAGCTCAAGCCCTGCCCAGGGACCCAGGAGCACACCCCCAGTGTTGGTCACCACCGACGGCCGAGGTAGACCACGCAGCCCGGCATCTCACCGCTCGCCGAGACCGACATGAGCAGCGGTCTGTGTTGCGAGCCCCATGCCCGCGAGGTGGCGCGCCCGAGCCTCGGCACCAGGGGCTCCAACACCTCCCTGTCCTGGTATCTCCTTTGCCGCCTCGATCCCGATCCTCTTCCTCCTCCGCCTCCTCCTCCCGTCTTCTACCTCATCATGTTCTTGTTCCCCCTCCTCCTCCTACTCCCCGTCTTCCTCCGCCTCCCTGTCCCTAAGCCTGACAATCGCCGGCTCGAGCGCCTCCCACAGCTCGACGGAATCGGGCTTAGACGCGATGCAGTCCGCGCGTATGCAGAAGCCTGCTGGCTGGCCAAAGGGACAGGCGGCATCTCGGGCCGACTTGGGGGTGCAGCCTGACGCAGATCTGGGAGTCCCCCCATCCAGCTTCAGTGTGAACAGCTCGCTCCTCGTCGCACACACCGCACGTGTCGGTATGTCGGCAGGTCGGGCCGAGCGCCCGTCTCAAAGCTTCCTCGTCGACTGCTGCTCACGAGCATCGAGAGCCCGAACCACCGGCTGCACGGACGAAGGGCAGTTGGGCTCCCCAGCGCGCTCTCGCTCCGACGACGCGGATGCTCTCCTCCAAGATTCGAACACCTTCAGGGCAGGCGATTCTCGCTCGAACGCATAGTAAGTGAGAGGCGGGGATTTATCCGTGTCCACCGCCTGGGAACTGACGTCCTGGTGCCCTAGCGGGCGAGGGATATGGATATAGTTCGGCCCCCGGGGGCCCGAATATGTCCGTATTCCCCGTCTGCCAAGGCACCGAAAACTGACCCTCCAGGCGGCGGTCGGATACTAAGCTCGTGCGCATGGCACTGAAACATATCAACGCGCTGTTTCACATCGTGGCGCAAGAAGAGGTCGTCACCATTCTAAGCCATGCAGGGCCCTGAACTGTGACAAAGCCATGGGGTTCTGACACTGTCAACCTTCCCGTGCCCCAGTCTCACCATTCCAGCGAGCGCCAGCCGTAATTCCCACCAGCACTCTGGGCGCAGATGGTTTCGTCTCGCTGAGGGTTACTCGATACTGTTACCAATCCTGGACCCAGTCCTGGTGAACTCGACCCTGAAGCATTTATACACTTCACCGCCAAAATGGCAAGCACCAAACATCAAACCCCAGACACTAACACCAAGCAACAACCCCCCAAACCCCAGACACCAAAAAAGCTGAACACACAACACCAAAGCCAACAAAACAAACGCCACGCCGAGACGCTCATGGGGGGTCCGAGAAGCTTCCCAGTAGCATCCGAGAGGTTTCCAAGAGGCGGCTAAGACTAAGAGGCATGTGGGGGACATCCGAGCGGCATCCGAGAAGCTTCCGAAATGTTTCTGGGGGCTTCCGAGAAGGTTCCGAGAGGCCTCCGAAGGGGACACCGAGAGCCTTCCGCGAAGCTTCGAGGCTTCTGGGATGCTTATGATGGGTTTCCGACAAACTTCCCAAAGGCTTCCGGGAGGCGACCGAAAGGCTTCCGAGAGGTTCCTTGAGAAACTTTCCAAAGAATTGTCCAACACTCTTCCGGACGCTTCCGAAAAACAACCGAGAAGTTTACGGAAAGGTGTCGGAGAGGCCTCCGAGAGGCTTCTGAGATGAATATGAAGGGCTCTTAAAAAGCGTCTGGAAGGTTTCCGGAAAGGTTTCCGAGAGGCTTCTGGTAGACACCCAAAGGGCTTCCAGGATAGTCCGAGATTCCGCAAGACTTTCGAGATGCTGCCAATGAGGCCCCAGAACTTCAAGTGCTTCGATGATGCGTGACTTCTCGGCCTTTCGCTCCAGGCAGGCTTCTGAGGACGCAGGAGAATCCCTACATGGCCCAAGGAGCCAAATAGTGGCCTCGAAGGGCCCCAGGCGAGCGCAAAGAGCCCCCAAGAGCACCCCAAAGAGAGTTGCGCAGCCCCTCCTGGGCGCTAATTTTGTCGACGGCCTCCAGCATGACCCCAACAGAGCCACGAGAGGGCCCAGAAGACTCCGAAACTGAGCCCAAAAGCCCCCGAGGTCTCCAAGACGTCTCCAAGTCGGTCATCGTTGGGAGCTGCACGGGCCGATCCCAGCCTAGGACTCGCTTCGGGACTCGTTTCGGGATTGACTAGTGAGAACAACGCGAAGCGTCAAGAATTACCTGCTTGCACATGGGAAGGGGAGACATGGGACGCGTGGGTAGACAGCATCAATGACGTACGCTGGACTCGTCCCTCCTCCCCTTGTTCATCCCCCTCCTTCTACACCCCCCCTTCTCTCGCCCCTCTTCTCCACCCCTCTCCCCCACATGCGAACGATACCTTGGACAGAATCTCAGGGGCCTTTGCGCATCTGCTGGTAAACATTCAGGGACACATGCTGCGCGCACATGCCTCAGACTATAGGCCACAAATGCGCGCAAGCCCGTTCTCTCAGGCAGCGGGCCAAGGGTGTGCACAAGCCGGTGGACTTCACTGCAGCCTGGAAGAACTTCACAAGGAGAACGGCACGGGGACAAGGGAGAGGGGGGCAGGGGGGAGAGGGAGGTGAAGGGCCACGGGAGCAGTGGTCGAGGGAGGGGGACGGGTGCGCTCACAGTAGCTAGAACTTGCGCGCAGTCATCAAGCGCGCTCAGGTTCTAGTTGAGGTCATCTTTAGGTCAGAGGGAGCGTGATCCACCTCCGCTTTACTGTGGAAAATTCCACCCCTCTTCCTCCGGAACCCTGGGTCCCCCCCCTTCCAAAATCCACCCCCCACCCCTGCTGAACCCCCACCTCTAGCCCCCCACCTTCCCCCGGCAAAACTCCCCCATACCCCCCCTTCTGGCGGAAAACCGAGGGGGGTCACTGCCAGTTCGAACCCCTGCCCCCCCTCACAGCCAGCAAACGACTCCTGGGTCCCCACCACCGTCCGCACCACATCCCCCCGCTGTCCCCAGCATCACCGTCCCCACCACCAGTGTCCCCACTTTGCCCACCACCGTCCCCACTGTCACCACCAATGCCCCAACCACTGTCGCACTGTCCCCAATGTGCCCACCACTGTTCCCACCACGGTCCCACTCTCCCCACTTTCTCCGTGGGGACAGTGGGACAGCACAGTGGGACAGCGGCGGGGACAGTGGGGACAGTGAGACAGTGGTGGGAACAGTGGGACAGTGGTGGGGACAGTGGGGACAATGGGGAGGGTGGGACCGTGGCGGGACAATGGTGTGGACACTGAGGAAGGTGAGACACTGGTGGGGGCACTGGTGGAAACAGCGGGGACAATGGTGGGAACAGTGGGGACACTGGGACATTGGCGGGGACAGTGGGACAGAGGTGGGGACGGCGGTGGTGGGGACAGTGAGTGGTGTGGGGACAGTGGGACAATGATGGGGACCGTGGGGACAGTGGGACAGCGGTGGGGCCGGCGGTGGTCGGGACAGTGGTGAGGGCGGTGGTCACTACCGTCCAGCGTGCGCGCGGGTCCGCCCGGCCAAGCGACGCTGGGCGCCAAGCGGCCGTCGTCGTCATCGTCGATGCCCGTTTGAAACGTTTTGGGGGTCTCCTGGGGGTTTCTTTGGCGCCTCTGGGGGCCTCGTGAGAGCCTCTTGGGAGCCCCTTGGAGGTCCTCTTGGGGCGGGGGGCTGGCAATTCCCATTGGATTCCCCCATAGTGGGCTCCACTCTGGGGGGCCATTCGGGCCGTCTGGGGTAGCTCTGGCTGGGACCGTATCGTGGCCCTCTTGGGTCACCTTGGCGCCCCCTGGGGGGCCTCCTGGGCCGTGTTGGGGCGAGCTTGGGGGCCCCTGAAGTCGGTAAGGACTGTACGAAGACCTAATATGGTAAAAATGCTGGTTTGCGAAGCCCTCTTGGGGGACAAAGTGCACGTGTTGTGAGGCGTCTTGGAAGCCTCTTGGGGGCTGCTTGGGGGGGCCTCTTGGGGGCCTCAGACGGTCCTCTTGGGGCGGGGGGCTCGCAATTCCAATTGGATTTCCCCAGTTCGGGCTCCTCTGGGGCCACTTGGGAGGCCGTTCGGGCCATCTCCGCTGCCTCTGGGACTGTCTTAGGACCCGCTTGGGCCGTCTTGGCGCCCTCTGGGGGGTTTCTTGGGCCGTGTTGGGGCGATCGTAGGGACCCCGAGGCTGTCAAGGACTGTGCGAAGACGAAAAACACAAATGCGGTGAACACATACGTTTTTTTCAGAAAGAACGGGGCAATTGTTGCTTCTCGGGGCCCTCTGGGGGGGGTCATGAGGCGTCTTGGAGGCCTCGTGTTGGCTGCTTAAGGGCCCTTGGGGGGCCTGGGGGGTCCTCTTGGGGCGTGGGGCTTGCAATTGGATTGCCCCATCTTGGACTCCACTTGGAGCCCTCTGGGTGGCCGGGCCGTCTGGGGTGCCTCTGAGACCGGCCTGGGAGCCGCTTGGGCCGTCGTGGCGCCCTCCGGGGGGCCTTTTGGGCCGTGCAGGGGCGATTTCTCGGGCCCCCGAAGATGTCGAGGACGGCGCGAAGACGAACTATCCCGGCAAAGCCACCTAACAGCGATGTGTAGAAGCATAGCTGGAAACGTTGCCTGTGGTATTCATGTAAGAGTGCTGTTGTAGAATTCTGGCGTCCTCGCAGTCGCATTCGGATTCGCAGTGGCAGTCGCAGCGGCAACATCGGCGGCAGTCGCAGTGGCACTGCCAGTAGTTGCAGTAGCAATAGCTACATTAGCAGCAACAACAGCAGCTGCACTTCCGGGGAGAACTGGTTGGCCTTCCGTGCTTTCCGGACTTTCTCTGCCAGCTGCCGCTCTGCGAGGCTACGCCCGGCATACTCCTTCGGGTGGCGGCCGAGGTCTCGCACATGCTGCATGAGCTCCTCGGTCTTGTCTCGCTTTTGCTGCATAAGCTCCTTGGTCTTCTGCTTCCGCTTGAGCTCCTCGGTCTCCGTCTGCTGATCAGCACAGCCCAGGGCCCGCAGTTCATGCAAAATGTCTTTGGGGATGCGGTCGCGATGGTCCGAGAAACGTTTGGCCAACTTGTTTTCGGCCCGTTCTTGTTCGGACGTTCCTTTACTTCGCTTCGGTATCCGGCCGAACTGCTTCACGTGCAAAGGACCGCTCAATGCAGCACGCTGAGGGGCAGCGCTGTTCCCTGCCGCAGGGTGAGGAACACCGCTGTTCAACGCAGCAGGGTCAGGAGCACCGCCGCCAGACCGAGAACTATCAGCATGTCCTGGCATTGAGGTGCGCAGTAGGCGCTGCGCAGTTCCTTTGAAAGGAAATCTTCGAAAGCAGGGGTGTAGCCAAGAAGGCTACGGGGACGATGATGATGATGAAGATGATGAGTCTTGGAAGTCTGGGAAATGG